ATCTACATGTGATCATGATAGAAGCTACATCTACACATGCATATATTCGGCCTGGCAAAGGGCGACCGCCTGCTGTGCCGAACGACAGCAGCAGCTAGGGCTCGAAACCGGCCGGCTTCGGTCTTCGCCCAAGCCTGCAGGGGACTGCATAACGAATGCCCGCCAAGCCCTATAAGACCCGTAAAACTCTAAATCCCAAACCCCAACACCCAAAACCCTGAACCCCTAAACCCCAAACCCTAAATATGTATATATATATATATATATACATACATACATGTGTATATATATATATATACCACAACTCGGGCCCGGAGAGCCTTGGCAGCCTGGCGGGGCTTCGGAGGTGCGATGCCGTGCTTGTCGTGCAGCTTCAAGAAGGCTGCCTACGGTGCACAAGCTGCAAGAAGCACATTATATATATATATATATATTATGAATATATATATATATATATATATATATATATTGTATATTAAGTTACGTATACATGTATATATTCATATATACCACTGTCTATATTAATATGTCGTCAACTGTATATGTATATGTATATATATATATATATATGTATTATGCATCTTCACATATACCTCATGAACTATATATCTACAAATGCACATCTAGATACCTATGTTTCTTAGGTATCAAATATATATATATATATATATATATATATATATATACGTATATATGTATGTATATATATATATATATATATGTATATATGTATGTATATATATATATATGTGGGGCCACATTTTTTTGGCGGCTTGGCCTGGAAGACGCTGAGGGCCGGCAGCTTGGGCTCGGTGAATTCGGTATGCAGATGAATGAGCGGGTTCACGTTCAGTTGTATCTGCAAAGAACAATAAGCAGGTTGACTATGTATATAGATCATAGTGGACAATACCCGGCCTCCTTCTCATAGATCATGCCGAGTCCCGAGTTCGAGGTGCACAACTGCACCAGGGTGCGGTTTTCCGGAGCCTTCGTCCGCAGCTCCGGCCAGTCCACCGAGGAAAACCCTCTCTCCAAGGCCTGTCATCATGTGTATATATTTATATGTATATACATAAACACATATATATATATATATTACACATGTAGTTCTATGTACCTGTTTACATATATATTTATATATGTATACACATGGACCAGTGGGATACACCCACACTTCAAAACTTGCTGAGTAGAAACGTGCGACCGTAGCTGTGTAGAGTACTTGAAGACTATGAGCCCAAGACCCATCTCTCCACGAATACAGGCCCCGTAAAGCCTCATGGAGAGGCTTGGCCCCAGCGTGGAAACATCCACCTCTTCGGGTTCCGGCTCCATCGCTGGCAAAAGAAGCTCCCACAAATAACTGCAGCAGCAAAAGCTGCAGCACAATCCCGCAGTCTATGTCTTGCCTGTAGCCTATGTATATATATATATATATATGTATGTATATATATATATATATATGAGCACACTAAAAATAATGTAGGGGTATACATTATAAAGCTATAAGTTTTGACATCTCGAATGTGCACATGTGCACATGCACGTCACAAGATGATTACTCATGATGACTTGATCAATATGTATATATATATATATATATGTATATATATACATTATACTAAACTACCTGATTCCACATATATATATATATATATATATACATATATTAAATTCATATTCATGTTGCTCGTCTAGCAACCTAAAACCCAGGCAGCACAGGGGGGGGCACACCTCGCTGCCGCTTGGTCTGCCGCCGGAAGTCTTCCAAGGCTCGCTTCATCTCGAAACCATCGCGGGATCACCTGCACGGGTTCGGAAATTCTGTGGGGGGTATAATTATGTACTTTAGGGTTTAGGGTTCAGGTTTTAGGGTTTAGGGTTTTAGGGTTTAGGGTTTTAGGGTTTAGGGTTTTAGGTGTGTGTTTGGAGTAGGTTTCAGGCTGGGTGGGGCGGATTGGAGCAGGATTAAGTCAGGAGCGGTTGTTGCATGGCTTCTGGCTAAAACTTTCGGGTAGGAGTTGTAAGGGCGGATTGGGTTCATGGATTCGGCCTAGGGTTTTGGGTTTTAGGTGTGTCAGGTCTATGGCTATGGCCATGCTTTCATGTCTGGAGTAGGCTGCAGGCTGGGTGGATCGGTTGTTTGAAGCGAGGTTAAGTCAGGAGCGGTTGTTGCATGGGTTCTGGCAAAAACTTTCGGGTAGGAGTTGTAAGGGCGGATTGGGTTCATGGCTTCGGCCTACCATTGTGCATATTCGTATAAATAAAATATATATATATATATATATATAGCTCAATCCAACATACATATATAAAGATACATAATGTATATATGTATCCAAATATAGATACAAGGCATCCTTCACACTTTCAGGTACATTGCATGTATGTATGTATGTATATGTATGTATGATATATATTTATATATATATATATACACACCTCTACATGATCAAGGACCCTCGCTCTTTTTCTCTGCCCCTGCCGCCCGGGTTCACCTCTCGCCGGCGATATAGCCAGAGCCATCCTGGCCAATCACCACCTTGCCTTTTGGCCTCCATCTCGAGAGGGAAAACAAAGCCTTCGGCGGCGGAACCTCCACTGCAGCCTTGGGTCCAGCAGCCTTGGCTCCAGCAGCCTTGGCTCCAGCAGCCTTCGGTCCAGCAGCCTTCGGTGGCGGGTAGGCGGGCGGAACCGGCCTCTTTGGCATTGGCTTCGTCACCACGTTCTTCGCCTTCGGCACCTTCGGCACACGTGGCTGTGGCCTCGACTTGCTCTTCGCCCTTGCCCCAGTCTCCCTCTTCGCGGCCTTCTTCTGTGGAGCCTGCCCATCCGGACGAAACCAGATGTCCTGCACGTTCCTCTTGGCCCCCCTCTTGTCCGCCTCCTCGACATCCGAAGGGTTCCAGGAGACCTCCTCCTCCTCGAGCTCTTCGTCGAGC